GGGGGCGGGGTAGCCATAGGCGGGGGCTCACATCACTGGCTTTGGCAGGGTGTGATGAGGAATAGGCGTGGCAGTCTCTGCTGCATTGCAGCGGAAGTATTACGCATAGGGGTGCAGCCGGATCCTCAAGGACTCTCTGCGACTGCGCGGTAGGGGCGTGACCGGAAGGGCGAGTCCCCTGCAGGGAGAGACTAGGGCGCGACCTAAGGAGGGTTCCTACTGTGCTGTCTCTGACATTCCCTCCCTGATGAGCAAGGTTCCTACTAAGTACTAGTGGTGGATAGGAAGCAGGTGGACTGCTTTCTCAGAGAAATCTATGCAAAAGGGGGCTTACAAAGTCTGAGTGGACAAGTCCTTTTGTTGGTGGCTGCCTCCGTCTTTATTGAATACCCAGGCTTAGGGGCCCTCTTGTGTCTCCTACCTTGGTGTGGTAGTTCTTCGAGGTTCTTTCTTGTCTCTACACTCTACAACCTGGGAAGTTGAGGAGAGATGACCTGGCTCTAGGGAGCATGTTCCCCAGTATGACAGCCATCTTTCTTTTCTTTTTCTTTTTTTTTTTTTTTTTTGCCCTTCCTCCCCAGGCCCGGAGGAGCTGGGACTCCAAGTCCAGCAGGATGGTTCTGAGACCACCCGAATGCCCAGTCCTCGGCCCAGAGATGGTAGGTGTCTACTGCCACTGCAAATGAGGTTGGAACCTTGTGGGTAAGATGGACCTGGACTGAGGAAGGGCAAAGCTTGGATTACAGCAGTTCCGCAGAACTGACCAAGTCCAGAACACTTGTCCTTTTGTGTTGTTCTCAGGCCTCATTAATGGGAGTATGATACCCAGGAAGAAGGAGGTAGATTTTAAACTAGAGCAGTTTGGAACTGGGGTTGGAAGCAGGGATTACAGTGCAGTGAGTAGAGTGCTTGCCTAGCATGCAGGAGCTTCACGGGCCAGCCCTTTCTGACCCCTGACTTTATCTGTGACACAGAGCACCTAAAAAATTGAGTGTCTTGGAACACCCCTGTAATTCCAACACTTGGGAGAACTGAGGCAGAAAAAGCAGTTCAAGGCCAGCTTTGTGTATTTTGAAGCCCGCCTGGGTCTCACAACTCTAAAATACTAGAGCAACCTAGAGTTGCTAGTGTTGGGATCAAACTGAAGGGATGGAGATCCTATCTTGGAGCAAACAGTGAGAGAATGCAGAATCAGGCATGATGGCCCTGGGGCTTTCATCCCAACATTATGGAGATTTAGATTGGAAGGATGGTGAATTCAAGGCCAGCCTGAGCCATATACAAAGGCTCTACCTCAGAAGAACAACAAATTAGCCCAGGGAATCCAGGTGTGGAAGGGGAGGCAGAAAACTTTGGGAGACAAGAGAAGACATGGTCACAGTCTCCAAACAGCTAGGCTGTGGCTCAGGGGCTGAGACTCTGAGCAGAGCACTGAGAACATGTTTGCGTATTTCCTTCAGCCTTGGGTCCTGCTGCCCAGCTTCATTAAATGTCACTTACTATCCCCAGGGCTTCCAGGGCTCTGCTGTGTCCTTATCAGCTCCTTTTGTCTCTTCCCTCCCCGTACCTAGTCTAGCAAGTTTCCAGCATGAATCAGCTCCTGCTTTTTAAAAACAGTTGGTTTTTTGTTTTGTTTGTTTTTACTATTTTGTCTCCTGGGGGTCTTATTACATAGCTCTGGCTGACCTGACATTTACTCGGTGGACCAGGCTGGCCTCAAACTCGAAGAGATCTGCCTGTCTCTGCCTCCCTAGCACTGGGATTAAAGGTGTGCACCACCTTGTCCAGCATTCTTTATCTGTGTCTATGTATATATCTCTGTGTGTTACATGCATGTGTTCACATGTGTGTGAACACACGACAGCATGAATGTGAAGGCTAGAGGACAACCTGTGAGAGTTTGTCTTCTCCCTCCACCAAATGGGTCTTGGGGATAGAACTCAAGTCATCTGGCTTGGTGGCAAGTGCCCCCAATCATGGAGACATCTCTTGAGCCTATGGGCCCTTCTGACCCCGGGCCTCATCTCTAACACAGGGCACCTCCGCCTGGCTAGTGGGACCCACCGATGTGAGGGGCGTGTAGAGCTCTTCCTAGGACAGCGGTGGGGCACTGTTTGCGATGACGCCTGGGACCTACGGGCAGCCATTGTCCTGTGCCGACAGCTGGGATGTGGCCAGGCTCTGGCAGCCCCTGGTGAAGCCCATTTTGGCCCAGGCAGAGGCCCCATCCTCTTGGACAATGTTAAATGCCGAGGAGATGAGAGCACCTTGCTACTCTGCTCTCATATCCGCTGGGATGTCCACAACTGTGACCACAGTGAGGATGCCAGTGTCCTGTGCCAGCCATTGTGACCCAGCTGACTCTGCACTCCATATCATATCAAAGGAGCCTGTGGGGAACTGTCCCTCCTTTTCCAGGATACCCTCCTATGATTTCTGCAGTTCCTGGTGCCCCTTTCTCCCCTTGCTTGTGGGAGCTTGTGCAGTACCCTGCCTCTGTCCTTTTACTGTGTGGTATCAGACTGTTGTCACCTGCTGAAGGCTCAGTACAGTGAACATGGCAATGTTTTGTTCAGCCAAAACAGAAGATGTGGGATAATGACTCATCTCTTTTTCTTTGGGGGAACTCTTATATAGTATCCCAGCCATTCTTCTCTCCACCCATATCCATGAGGCTTGGGCTCTCTGTAAATGCCCTCAAACCCTTCTAATGACCTATCTTGGTCTCCCCCCAGAAAGCAGGGTGGCAGAAGGGGTTGGGCTGCTCATTTCTATAGACTGACGGGACTGCAGAAGGTCCTAGGTCATCACCTTCCCTGCTGGGTGAGGACCTGGTCTCAGATGGTGCTCGGCTGAAAAAGGAGGCTGCAGGGGCCAAAGCAGGGACAGGAGGAGCCCTTCCTGCAGCATCTCTGATTTCTACTGTCCCCAGCACAGAGCCTCCGCTTTTCCGTAGCAAAGAAGCCTGGAGGCCTGCGGCCACTGTTCATAGGTGCCAAGTCAATAAAGCATTATCCCCCCCAGTCTTTTAACTGAGGTCATTGTTTGAGAACCTGCATTGTGGCAGCTGGAAAGCCTCCAGACAGGACTTTCTGTAGAAAACCTGTCAAAATGTTTATTCTGAATCGGGCTCCAGAGCCACCAAATGGGTTCCAACAAGGTGTACATGCTCCTTTGCCTCAGTTTCCTTTTCCTATACTCCTTATACTTTGACTTGAGGAGGGGCCTGGCTGAGAGTGGCTCTCAGCAACAGGGAAAAAGAGGAGCTTCTGGTCATCCTCTCCATCCTATTACACACTCACAAATATAGATCCAGGAAAGGAAGGAAGTACAGCATGTGTGTGCATGCCTGTAACCCCTGTACTGGGGGGTGCTGAGGAAGGAAGAGCACTGGGACTTCCAGGCCAGCCAGAACTACAGAGTGAGAGACCCTGATTGAACAAGCCCAGAAAATAAAATGACAAAACAAACAAACCACTACTTTGGTAGTATACAACTGTTATGTTACCTCTGTGAAGGAGTCATGGGCAGGATGAGAGGAGCTCAAGGTCAGCCTGGGCTACAAGAGACCTTGTCTAGAGAGAAAGAGACCCTGCCTGAATAGAAGTCTGTAATCCAAGCATTTATATGATGAAGCAGGTGGATTAGGAGTTTAAGGCAGCAGGGCTTCTAGAGAGCCCCACCCCCGTCTTCCCTTTCCCCACCTATGCATGTCTAGATTGAGTTTGTTTGTTTTGGGAAAGACAGGGTTGTTTCACTGTGTAGCCCTGGCTGTCCTGGACCTCACTCTGTATACCAGGCTAACCTCAAATTCAGAGATCTGCCTGACTGCCTCCTGAGGACTGGGGTTAAAGGTATGGGCTACTATGCTTGGATTAAATTGTGTGTGTGGGTGTCTGTCTGTCTGTCAGTTTATGCTTTGTTCTCACTCATTCCTGTTCTCTTTATGCCTTTGCTATTCTGGACTTTTTGGTTTTTTGAGACAGGGTTTCTCTGTATTGCTTTGGAGGTTGTCCTGGAACCCTCTCTGTAGACCAGGCTGGCCTCAAACTCACAGATATCACCTGCCTCTGCCTCCCAAGTGCTGGGATTAAAGGCGTGCTCCACCAACGCCCGGCTGGATGTGCTTTTTTTTTTAAAAAATAATTTATTTGTATTTTATGTGCATTGGTATTTTGCCTGCATGTCTGTCTGTGTGAGGATGCAAGATCACCTGAAACAGAAGTTGGGAACAGTTGGGAACTGCCGTGTGGGTGCTGAGGCTTGAACACAGGTCCTCTGGACGAGCACCCAGTGCTCTCAACTGCTGAGCCATCTCTCCAGCCACCATTCTGGAAATTATTTAATGCTTCCTTTATATTCTATTTCTGCTTGCTTGGATTGAATCTAGGACCTAATTCATGGAAGGCAAGTATTCACTGAGCCACAATCCCCACTCCAATTCTGCCCCCTCCTAGCTCAGAGATTTAGTGTGTGTGTGTGTGTGTGTGTGTGTGTGTGTGTGTGTGCGCGCGTACACACAACATGCCTGCACGTTCTCTTGGCGATCAGAAGAGGGTGTCTAATCTCCTGGAGCTAGAGTTATAGCAAGTTGTGAGCTGTCTGATGTGGGCACTGGGAAGAGCAGCCAGTGCTCTATATATACGTTATCCGTTTCTCTGGCCCTTCCCCACTCTATTTTTTAGGTTAGCATACAAGGCATTAGATCTCTTTCTCTCATATTTATAAACAGGATCTCACTCTGCAGCCCTAGCTGGCCTGGAACTCATGTAGACCAGGCAGGCTATCCTCGAACTCACCTCTTAAGTATGTGGATGAAAGGTGTATATCACCATGCCTGACTAATTATGACATTTTCAAACAAAGTGTGATTTAATAGATTTTCTTCCTTTGTATCTCCTCAACCCCCAATCCCCATATCTCTTATATCTGCCCAGTCTCATTTCCTCCCATGTGTCATGTGAAATTGCTTACTTTTACCCCTCTTGGTCCCCTCTCTAAAGGGTTTTATCCACAGTTGCACCTCAGGGGAGCAGTGTGAGCTTGTAACCACTGAGCTCCATCTGTCCATTTCTCAATTGGCCTTTTGCTCATTAAAAAAAACAAAAAAACAAAAAAAAACTATTTTATGTGTATGGGTGTTTTGCCTGCATGTATGTCTGTATACCACATGGGTGCCTGGAGCCTGAGAACGCCAGAAGAAAGCACTAGGTCCCTTAAGATTAGAGTTATAGACAGTTATGAGCTTCTGTGTAAGTGGTATGACTCAAACCTGGGTCCTCTGGAAGAGCAGCCAGTGCCCTTAAACCGATAGCCATCTCTCTGACACCCCTTTCCCAGTTTGCTAAACAAAAGCTGGATGTGGTCACCCCTGCCTTTAATCTCAGCATTGAGGAGGCAGAGATTGGTGGATCTCTGTGAGCTCAAGGCCAGCCTGCACTACAGATTGAGTTCAGAAACAGGCAAGAGTACGTGGAGAAACTGGCTCAAACAACAACAGTTATCCTCTGACCACTGCACGTAGATTACGGTGCACATCTGTGTTTCCACACACAAATATGTAAAAACAAAAGATACCCTCCCCCCACAGACACACACTGCAATTCTGCAAACAACTAGAAAACTAAGTCCTTTGGGTTCTTTTCATTTGCTTGTTTTATTTTGGTATAGGGGAAGGCCCATATACAGTAGGGAACTGTAGGGAATCTGGAGGTAAGAGAACAACTTTTGGGAATACAGTTTTCTCCTTCCACCATATGGGTTATGGCAATCAATCTTGCATAGTCTGGCTTCATGACAGGTGTGTTTACCTGCTAAGCCTGATCCATTATTATTATTACTATTATTATTGGCATTGTGATGTGTGTGTCTGTGTATTATATGTGTACTTATGTGTAAGTACACGGTGGTCAGAAGAGGATATTTGATCTCTGTGAATTAGAGGCCAGCCTGGTCTACAGATAGGGTTTCAGGACAGCCAGGGCTATGAAGAGAAACCCTGTCTTAAAAAACAAAAACAAATCAGAAGAAGTTGAGTGTTGTGTTCTGTCACTGTCTGATTCCTTTGAAACAGGGACTCTCACTGAACCTAGAGCTAGGCTAAAAGCCGGCAAGCCCCAGAAGTCCTCCTGTCTCTGCCCTCTACTACTGGAACTACAGCATTCTTGGTCACTCTGGTTTTACAGGGTCAGGTGCTGGAATCCAAGCTCAGGTCCTCAAGTTTGCACAACCCTCTTACCCACTAAGTCATCCCTCTAACCTTTTTTTTTTTTTTTTTTCCCGGTTTTTCGAGACAGAGTTTCTCTGTGGCTTTGGAGGCTGTCCTGGAACTAGCACTTGTAGACCAGGCTGATCTCGAACTCACAGAGATCCACCTGTCTCTGTCTCCCGAGTGGTGAGATTAAAGGCGTGCGCCACCACCGTCCAGCTTAACCTCTTCTTTTATTGTTAGATTTTTCAATTTATTTTGTGTATAAGTGTTTTCATATGTGGATTATTTTGCCCAGGTGTATGCCCTGTGCTCACCAAGGTCAGAAAGTGTTGGATCCTCTGGTACCAGGGTTGCTATAATTGTGAACCTCCATGTGGGTGCTGGGAATTGAACTCAGGTACTATGTAAGAGGAGGTGCTCTTAATTGCTGAGTCATCTCTCCGGCCCCTTTCTCCTCCTCCTCCTCCTCCTCTTCTTCTTCTTCTTTTTTTCTGTTTTTTTCCAGACAGGGTTTCTCTCTGTAGCTTTGGAGCTTGTCCTGGCACTTGCTCTGGAAACCAGGCTGTCCTCGAACTCACAGAGATCAACCCCCCCTGCCTCGACTACCTGAGTGCTGGGATTAAAGGCGTGTGCCACCAACACCCGGCTCTCCCGCCCCTCTGATCTTAAAATTGTTTCATGCCTGTGTGTAGTAGGGGTCACAGGAGTTCTCTCCTGCCACCACATGGGATCCAGGGATTCTTAAAGGAAGTGCCTTTACGGGTTGAGCCATCACACCAGCTCTGGCCCCTCATCATTGAGACATGGTGTCCTTCCCTATCTATTTATTGTTACATCTGCCTGGCAACTTGGACTGGAGCCAAACATTGAGGATTGAGGGATTAGCAAAAAATGAGGCAGCTGAGGTTGTGTTCCTGTAAGGTCAAACTCCAAACTTCCAGGGCTTCCCACTCACAGGCACTGCCCTGGGAAGTGTTCCTATCTGCTGTGCAAACAGAGGAAACAGAAGCCCAATGACTGCTAGGTCACCAAAAGCATCATCTGGGACCGGGTGTTGGGATTCCCACTGGAACCCCACAAGCCTCGACGACCTGGACACGTATAGGATAGGACGTGACGTGGCTCTTCCCTTCCGTCCCACACAAGTCGCGCCTTCCTGCTGAGTCACCGCAGGAGCTCAAGAAAGGGCCCGCCCTGGGTGGTACCCGAAGCCACGCCTCTGTCTCCTAGACGGGTTCTGATTGGATCGTCCAGGAACCGGTCCAGCCAGTCACAGCAAACTGCAGATTTTACTGGGAGAGGGGCGGGAGGGGGCGATGGATCCGCCCTTTGGGGGACCCTCCCATCCCTCGGAGACGGAGTACTATGTCTGGTAGGACAGTGGACTCTGGTCCTAGGTGCAGCACATACAGCGGAAAGAAAATCAAGCGCCCCAAGACACGAGTTTATGTGACATTTTCAGTCCCAGCAGACATTTGCCGAGTACCACCAGCTTTTCTCTCCTTTTTCTTACTTTTCTTCCCTTTTCTTTTTAGTTTTCTTCCCTCCTTCCTCTCTTCCTCCTTTCTGTCTGTCTCTCTTTTTCTTTCTTGTTAAAATTTTGTTTTATGCTGGGTGGTGGTGGTGCCCACCTTTAATCTCAGTGCTCAGGTGATAGAAGCAGGGGGATCTCTGTGAGTTCAAGGCCAGACTGGTCCACATGGCGAGTTTCAGGACAGCCAGAATGTTTCACAGAGAAATCCTGCCTAGAAAAGTGAAAACAACAAAAAATTATGTTTTTAGTCAAGACCTCATGTAGCCCAGTCTGGTCTCCAACTTGCCACATAGTCAAAGATGACATTGAGTTTTTCACTGTTCCTTCCTCTACCCACCT